CTATCTATCTATCTATCTATCTATCTACCTATCTATCTATCTATCTATCTATCTATCAATCTATCTATCTATCTATCTAATTTACAATAAATATCCTCACCCTCATCGTTCTGATGTTAAACTCTCTTACAGCCTATATACGTTTCTATCCGTTTACTTACATGTTCTCCAAACTTGTCTCTTTGTTGATTAGTGTGCGAGTCTATTTTTACGTAGGCCCTACTGAGTGTGCTGTGATTGAACTTTCGGTGGTGATTGGCTATATGTTTTATCTGTCAGTGTTACTTTTATCCTTATCATTTCTATGTGAAATATAGTTGTTATAGTATTGTGATACACAAATGAATCCAGATGACCAATAATGAATCCGCCCCCCCCCCCTCCACCTTCCCGGGGTTCCGAAAAGCGAGCAACTAGTCTTTTTTTTTCTAAGTCCGTGTGATAAACCGACCTAATAACTCGTACACTTGACAGCAACCATGTTTTCTTGGGGAGGATATTTTAAGATTGACATTTTACATAGTGAAAAATAACGTATACTACATAATTTACCATTAAAAAGTAAGAAAAGGAAAATATTCTTACAACAACATGACTGTTTCAGACCTCATTCTGGTTTAAAATCACACCTACCACGTAGTTGCCAAACTCTTTGAACAACTGCGCCACATTCCCTGGCTAAGTATTATAGTTCTCCCTGCTTATCTACCCAGCCCCGAAACATACCTTGCTCTCTGTGTCTGTCTGAACCGCATGTCCGTTGCTCTCTGGTCCACTCTTCAAAAACTCTTCTGACCTCAACCATTTTCCAATTTTACGACAAACTCTCAGTACCAAGTGAATGTATGTACTGGATATGTTTCCGTGTCAGAAGGGTTAGTGAAGAGTGGCGGACTCAGATTCAACGTCCTCCTCTGATAAGACGTATCTATGTGGATGGAGGGTGATAAACCTCTTCAAGCCATCGTTGGTCGAACGCATGCAGTGGGAACTGTGAAATTTAAACCTGCACCGCAGCCTTGCTTCAAACCAACCGATTTGTCCCCTTGCATTGTAGACTCACCCGTGTGGTTCTCGGGGCCCTGTCCAAGAGACAGGGGAGCAAAGAATAGGACCACTGTATCCGTACCGCGCATGTCGTAGAAGGCGACTAAGTTCGGTTGGGCAAAGTGTTAGCAGCCCTTTCCCATAAAACAAAAAGCAGCTACAAAAACATCAACAGCAAAAACAACACGACCGCCAGTTCTGGGAATATATGGATGTCTAAGGAACTGGGATTGAACACCAAACGGAGGATCTTCAAAACAAACGTGAAGACTGTTCTACTGTATGGTTCAGAGACATGGAGGCTCACAGCATCGGCAGCAAGGAAACTGCAGAGCTTCGTAAATGGATGCCTACGAAGGATAGTGGGGATCAAGTGGTAC